GCAGACACCTTATCGGGGTCACCGTGGTCCGAGCATGCCAACCTACCCCCAAGAGCTCCATCCCAGTTTCCGCAGTCCCGGTTCAACAGGGAGACAATACCTCAACCATTTCCAGGACAGGAGCTTCTCCAGGGACCTGTATCTGGAACCTCAAACCCATTCCAGACAAACTCTCCAGGTCGGAGGTTCAGAAGGAGACGAGCTGCTTGCAACCATTACCACTACCACTACCACATCCACAGTCACCCCTGTTCGACTCAGTGCAAGCGATGTGGAAAACTTCTTCACTCCAACCGAAATATCGACGCAGAAGAGCTCCTCCGAACAATCTCACGGTGTTTCCAGAGAGAGTATCGCCACTACCACTACGAAAACAGGAAGTGTAGTAAATGCAGAAAACGCCGAAAATACAGGAAACACAAAGCAGACTACGGCAATTCACGTCATCAAACTTGGGCAACCCGGCCAGGAGGTGGATGGGCTCATCCGAGCCTCAGGGATCCAAGTGAGCGAAACGGAACGCGCAGATAATGAGAACAACATGAAAAGAAGCCCGATCATGCCTCTTGCCAAATGGGCATACTACTCTTTGTTACCAATGGCAATATTCTACCTCACCCTCATGGCTATGACGTATAGGGAATATCGCGAGTACTGGACGACAGGAATTCCTGGGCTTAAGCTACCACAAGTTTTGAGGTCCAAGAAAATCGTAATCGGTGTTTTATGCGTGGCAGTGGCAGTATCAATCACATTCAGAGGCTAGGCAAAGGCTGTCACGTACGGAGTATGCCTTCAGGATATAATGAACGCGACTCTCCATTGGGGTATCATTGTCCAAACATCGAAATGTCTTCTCGAAAGGCCCGTTCATGCATGCTAAGTCAGGAAGCTATTCATACCAATCCTCTCTCTTTCTACACACTCTTTAGAGATAGAAATTGAATAGACTACTTTCGCTTACTATGGAACGAACTTCAGATCCAATATTGGAAATCCATAGAATTTTTTGAACATTAGACTATGAAATTACAAAATGCTCTAAAAGAAAACCTAAACGCTGGTTTACTTATGTTGAAATAGTGTTGAAAGGAAAGGTCATTCATCCGTTGCATCATCTCAATCATCAAGGTAGTGCTTTGTTGAAATCTTCCTTCTTGCTGCGTGCCTCCTGGTCCCATTGCCCGCTATGATATAAATTAAATAAAATGATGCATCTCTGACTCTTCATAGTCATTCCCCTTTCTTTCCTTTTCTTTTTTTCATCTAGACGCCGCTTTCCCATGCATGAGTTGAGTCTAGCCCCAGCAGCCTTCCTAGACAATAGATAGCCTACCCCTTTTATCCCTGGCGTTTATTCCTTTGCCATGTCTTTTTTGTGTTTGGTCTCAAACGTGGAGAATTGAAAGGGAAGCTGCGGAGGGTGTAATAAAATAAACGATGAGAAAAAAAAAAAAAATGACGAATGCCTTGAAACGAAACACGAATGTTGAATGGGGTATTTTGAAGAAGGTTAAGTTGAAAGTAGAACCAAAAAGTAAAAAAAAATAAATGGAGGGCGTCGACGTCGAAGTGGTAGTGCGATCGTTAGTTGGTAACTGAGTGGGTGAAGACAAGTTTACTTTGCGGAAACAGCTTGTTTCTCCGTCTTCGGTGCTCGAGCTTCCGAGTGAGTGCCGTTTTCTGCAGGTTCAGTGGTTTGTTGAGTGCCGCTGACTTCGGTGTCGATGTCCTTGAGAACTAGGCCCTTGAATAGATCAAAAATATCATGCGTCTTATGGAAGTCGTTATTCACTGAAACAATGTGTTAGTATATTCGTTAGAAAGTAAACTAAAGGTACTGGCGGGGGCTTACCGATGTTGACAAGGTACCAGGTATCCATCGTGTTCTGGATTAGTTTCCTGCTAGCGCTTGAGGCATCGTGACATTTGGCCCAGTCATCTCCTAGTCTATAGGCCTCGTCCTTCCATGCTAGGAAACTAACGGTTTCGACAATTGTAGGTTGAATAACTTCCTTGGAGGCAAAAATGCCCCATGTGACAGCATTAGGCGTATCGCTGGAGTTTGTCTTTAGTTCTCCATCTTTGTTGATGCAGTGGTATGTTAAGTCCGCGTTGGATTCAATTCGCCTGACCACCTCATCGATTAGTGCTGGAGAGATAAGTAACTCGAGATAAGCCTTTTGGTACACGTAGCCGTTCCGAGGACCCCATCCGTATATTGGATGAGAGGATTTAGCACCATTAATTGCAGGCTGTGAGTTGATGGTAAGGAAGCCCCTGTTGTTGAGGTCGATCAGATCGTCCTTAATGATCTCTGATTCTTGAGTGATTGCACTTTCACTCCATGGTAGCCTGTCGAGCTTATGCTCCAGGAAGCGAACGAAGATATCTGACAGATCTCTAACCGACTTGGGCTCACCCCATAGCTTGATGTTCTGCTCGTTGGTGCCCTTAAGTCCAATGCCATAAACATCAAGCTCTCCAAAGGCAGGAGAGCGTGAATCGGTCCAACGACCGTTAGGGAATTCATCCCAAGATTGGGTGCGTGCAACATAGGATTGATGTCTATGTCTCCAGAAAATAGGTCGAACGTCTTCTTCTCTCCTTCCAAGCCCCAGTGACTTTCTCCATGGCAGTGGCTTCTGAAGAGGAGTTTCGGTGGAGGGTTTCAGGTTCAACTCTTCCAAAACCATGGTCGTGGACTGCGCAAGGTTCATGGTATAGCTATTGAGGACATTAGACCACTGAATAATTCAAAAACGCAATAGCTGCGGGTGACAACTTACAAGTGCAGATGGTTGATGCCATTTTCAAGCAGCTTTCTGCACATCTCAGACACCAGAGCCTTTCCAATCTGCTTAACAGCGGCATCATCATTCTTCACAGGCTCAAGAGCCTCCATCCAGCCCTTGGGCACGGCACACTTGACCCAGTTGGTACGACGAATAAATGCAGCATAAGTTGAAATTGGCATGATGCCGGGGATGATGGGGACCTTGATTCCAGCCTGTCGACATTTCTTCACCCAATCCAAGAAATTATCCGCGTCGTAGAACATTTGAGTGATGATAAAGGTGCCACCAGCATCAACCTTTTCCTTCAGGTACTTCATTAACAGTTCGGGATCTTCCTCATCTTCACAGCCTTCAGGATAACCAGCAACGCCGATATCGAAGTGGTTGCCATACTTCTCCCTGATGTACTGCACAAGATCTCTCGCATACCGGAATCCTCCTTCAGTTTGTTCCCACGCTTCCTTCTCTCGAGGCGGGTCTCCTCGAAGAGCGAGAATATTCGTACAGCCCGCTTTAAAAGCACTCTGCAGAGCATCATCAACCTTCTCTCTCGGCATATCAGTGCAGGTAAGATGCATGCACGTCTCTAACCCGTAAACCGACTGGGCGACATGAACCATCTCACAGGTGAGCTCCGCCAGCCGACCTCCTGCGCCCCAGGTTATATCAATGAACGACGGTCCCAGTCCATGCATGCGATCCATACGGTCATACAGATTCTGTACACCTTGCGCTGTCTTAGGAGGGAAGAATTCAAAGGAGATTCCTGGCCGCCCAGCGGCCTCTGCCAGGGCCAATTTGTCTTTGATATGCATGACGGGTTAAAACTGCCAGAAGACACACAACAGTCAGTAACGATAACTCTTTCACCGGCAACGAGCGATGAGACTAAGTGAAGGGAAGAGCCAGTGCAACTAGCTCGATGGACAGGGAGTTATCGAACAGTCGGTGCAATTTGCTCTGCCTTCTGGGGGCTTCAATCCCTCCGAAATCGGTAGTTATAAGAGGCTCTCGCGGTGAATGAGAGAAAAGACCACCGGCGAGGAGAAGGAAAAGAGTAAAGAAGCAAGCGAAGGCTCTCCAGCCAGGCGTCTATACGTACTTTTCTGTCCTTTTCTAGCGAACAATTCGAGTAAATAGGCCGAATGAACAGGTGGGAAAAAGAGGACCCAAAAAAAAAGCCTCCGAGCTGAGCTTAGGACGAGGCCAAAAGTCCGATAAATGGTTTCTCTGCCTGCTGCAATTCCGACCAGGAGCGTCTCAACCGAAGTAGCGTTTGCGTGCCCACCTGTCTGCCAGTATGCGCAACATATAGTGTAGCTATGCGGTTACGTCGTCTATCTCATGTACGGGAACGGTGGTGGGAGGCAAGTTTCTGGTTGTAAGAAGCTTGGGGAGAGGAAAAGGCAGAGAAGAAAATAAGGTGAGCGCCCCAGCCCCGAGTTCTTAGTTAACTAAGCTTAAAGTTGGCCGGAAGAGAAGGCGACGAACCCGCCGGCAACTTGTGTTGGTAATTTTTATGTGCAGTTGTCTTCCGTGAGGAAAAGGCCAGATACAAACAGAATTATTCTTCTGGGAAGAGGAAGCAGAAGAGGGAAGCAGGGGAAGTCCTTGAGATAAAAGGGGGGGAGAGGAATGAACGCCCTTTATATAGCTCTTTCTCAGGGCGGGACTGGCTCCTTTTCCCTTCTTTGCTTTTAGCTACCAGCAGGCCAACTACAGATCCAGGCTTGACACAAAGAGGCGCGCAATTCTCAATAGATCAAGGCCAAAAATTAGATATAACCAGCCAGCCAGCATGGGCAGCATTTTCTTCCTGTTGTTTGGACCGCATCCAGCATGCGTATTCCGGCTCTCCTTTTTTTCTACCCCTCCGCTAACCTAGTTATTACACCATCGCTCCGTCCCGCTTGCCGGGGGGTCCCCGGCCTACAGATGAACTGGCGGAAACCGGATGCCAATTCGATTTTCGCCCAAATTTCTGATCGTGTTTATGGTGCCTTGTTGATGACGCTGGAGAAAGGCAGTCGGGGCACGAGGCTCCCCCATTGTGACTTGTGGGCGCCTTCCGACGCGGGCCAGGGCAAGGCAGAAGGATTTGAGGGTGGTCATCACTGTTCCGTGACTAGCAGGGATTAAGCTGCACCGGTTCTCTTACCGGCGCAGGCTCGTGAGGCGTGTGGGAGACAACCTGTTGGCAAGATGTTATGGTCCTCAGAGCCAGGATTGTCCCGTCTAGGAATTGAAATCCCGCTAGCAGATACTGAGTTCTCTGCGCAAAGCCTGAGCTGGAGTAACTATTTCAAAAGCACCTGCATGGTCTGTGAACTGCGGTCTTTACACGTGCAGGATTGCTCGCTCCAACGAACCCCGCGTGGGGTGCGAGTACAAGCCTGCGGGACGCACTGGCATAGTTGAGCCTGCTGAGTAGAAATTGGATTTGGGAAGAAGAAGAAGAAGAAGTAACTGTTGTTGATGAAGAAGAAGAAGAAGATGATGATGATGAAGTTGAAGAAGATGAAGTAGTTGATCGCAAGTCGAAGTTGAGGTTGAAAGTAGAAGCCGGTGAGGGGCGGCAGAAAGCCTAAAAGGGAAGTAGACGGTTTTTTTTTTTTTTTTTTTTTTGTCGACAAGAAAAAATGATATCAAAACCAAACCAGAAATATCAGCAGTGATCGAAGTGATCGGATTCGCTTGACACTTCCATACCTCGCATCTGCTTACTATAATCCTAGCGCGACGGTGGTTGGATCTCATATACTTCTCTAACTGCGCTGTCAGGTCGGCCGATCGCAAGAATCGTTTGCAGATACCCCGCCGTGTAGCTGCTTCTCTCCTTGTTCACAAACCACGGCTATATTCATTCGCTATCCAAGACACCATGCCAGCTCAGGACTCAGACAAGTCTCCGGACTACAAAGCAAACCTTCTCTCGATCCTCATTTCCAGCAAAGTCCTTTCGTTCGGCTCCTACGTTCTTAAATCAGGCCGAAACTCCCCTTACTTCTTCACAACGACCCTCCTCCACACTGCACCGTTACTGCATGCAACAGCGTCTGCCTGTGCTACAGTGTTATCTAGCCCTCCATTCGTCAAAAGTCAAGAAGGGAAAGCTGTCACTCCCAGCTTTGATATAATTTTTGGGCCTGCGTACAAGGGAATACCACTCTGCACGGCAGTTCTGAATGAGCTTGGTGTTCGAGATACCCAGGGTGTATGGGATAATGTCAGTTACTCTTTCAACCGGAAGGAGGCTAAGAGTCATGGCGAGGGAGGGAACATTGTCGGTGCCCCTCTCAAGGGCAAGAGGATAGTCATTATAGACGATGTCATCACTGCCGGAACCGCCTTGAGAGAGGCTGTTGGTATAATTGAGAAAGAGGGAGGCATCGTGGTTGGTGTATTGGTCTTGCTGGATAGACAGGAGAGAGTTAACGATACAGAGACCAAGAGTGCGGTTGGGGCTGCACAGAGAGACTTGGGCGAATCAATTCCTGTACGGGCAGTACTCAACTTGAATGATATTATCGAAAAGCTTGGGGACGATATTGGTAAGGAGAATCTGGAGAAGCTCCTTGAATATAGGGCGAAGTACGGGGCTAAGGAGTAGACTGATGGTTTGGTGTTTATGCGAGTGTTATATTTAGCAGCTTCAGAGGGCCACATAAAGGCGCAACTTGGAAGTTCAAGGCTCTTCTTCATTTTTGTTCTGATGCTAAAATATGTAGACCGAGCTTTATAAAATGTATAAACATCGAAACAAATAACCGAAATATAATGCAGATAGGTATTTCAATGCCATGCGTGATTTCAACGGAACAGGGTATTATTAATATGAACACAAGGAAATGTAATGGCCCTTTTGTTATGGTTGCCTCTTCTACCATTCCAAAGGCTCACCTTTGATCTCACCCCGATTGGTCTTGGGAACAGGAGCAGCCTCCACCATGGCAGGTCCAGTTCCATTCCCGTTTTGTCTCTTCAAATATCCGCTTCCATCGAGCCATGGTGTCTCGCGTGTCCGCTGTCCCTCAAACTTACGAATTAAACTCTCCATCTGCATTGTCAAGCCAATATCGTCAAGGCCATTGATGAGACAGTGTTTTCGGAACTCCTCAACTTCAAAGTCTGCAAGCTTATTGCCAGCAGCATCATTGATTCGTTGGTTGACAAGGTCAACTTCCAGCTCATGGCCGGCATCAGCTTCAGCGGCTAGCTGCTGGATAGTAGCGGCATCAGGGATCGCAATTGGAAGCATTCCGTTCTTAAAAGTGTTGTTGAAGAAAATATCGGCAAAAGACGGGGCTATTATGCACTTAATTCCGAAATCAAGCAGTGCCCAAGGGGCGTGCTCGCGAGAACTTCCACATCCAAAGTTTTCGCCACTGACAAGGATTTTCGCGTTGCGATATGGCTCCTTGTTCAGAACGAAGTTTGGATTTTCCGACTCATCCTCATTGTATCGTAGAGGGTGGAAAAGGGCACTCCCGAGGCCAGTTCGCTTTATTGTCTTCAGGAATTGCTTGGGTATGATGGCATCGGTATCAACATTGGCTCGATCCAGATGGGCAGCAATTCCTTTTAGGGTAGTGAACTTGGGAAGCCCAGCGGGAGACTTCTCAGCGGTGGTGTTGGTATGTGGTTCGTTGTCTTCGGGGTAGTCCAGGATCCGATCAAGCTCTTCCTCGTCTTCTACCTCTGGATGTATTTCGAATTTAGGCGAGGATTTCTTCTGTGATATCGGGATTGTTGAGGCAATTTTGCGAACATCTGCCAGTTTTCCTACTATCGCAGCAGCAGCAGCCATAGCGGGAGACATCAGATGTGTTCGGCCAGCAGCACCTTGCCGACCCTCGAAGTTTCTGTTTGATGTACTGGCACATCGTTCCCGAGGGGAGAGAATATCAGGATTCATACCAAGGCACATGGAACATCCAGCCTCTCTCCATTCAAACCCTGCATCGATGAATATCTTGTCAAGTCCCTCCGATTCTGCTTGTCGCTTAACCAGCCCAGAACCAGGAACGATCATTGCGCGCATAACATTCGAAGCAATTTTCTTGCCCTCTACAATATGAGCGGCAACTCGAAGATCTTCAATTCGCGCATTTGTGCATGAGCCAATAAATACCTTGTCAATTGGGATATCTTCCATTCGGGTACCAGCTGTGAGTCCCATGTACTCCAGAGCGCGACGGCAGCTAGCTTTCTTGACCTCATCCGAGAAATCGTCGGGGCCGGGCACAACGCCAGTAATTGGGACCACATCCTGAGGCGAGGTTCCCCAGGAAATTGTAGGCACGATGTCCTTTGCATCTATGAAAACCTCTTTATCGTAGACGGCCCCCTCATCGGATTTCAAGCTCGACCAATACGCAACTGCCTTCTTCCACTCGGCACTGCCATACTTTGGAGCAAGTGGTCTGCCCTTTAGATATTCGAATGTGACTTCATCGGGAGCGATCATGCCAGCCCTAGCACCAGCTTCAATAGACATGTTGCAAATTGACATGCGTGCCTCCATGCTAAGGCCTCGGATGGCGGAGCCGCAGAATTCGATTACTGCCCCCGTACCACCAGCAGTTCCAATAACACCGATCACATGCAGAACCACGTCCTTACTGCTGACACCTGGCGGAAGCTCGCCATCCACTTGCACGCGCATGTTCTTGCTTCGCTTGGTGATCAAGGTCTGTGTGGCCAGGACATGTTCTACCTCACTGGTACCAATACCAAATGCCAAAGCACCAAAAGCTCCATGAGTAGAGGTATGGCTGTCACCACATACCACTGTTGTGCCTGGAAGAGTGAACCCTTGCTCAGGACCGATAATGTGAACAATGCCTTGCCTTTTATCCCCCAGGCCAAAGTAGGTCACACCGAACTCCTTGACATTTTCTTCGAGAGTCATGCATTGTAGACGGGAATCAGACTCCTGGACGAAGCCGGCAACATCTTTGTACGTCTCACGAGACGTTGTTGGGATGTTCTAATGGGTACAAAATGGTCAATACAAGGAGAAGTCAATCCAGTAACGTTAGGATTTATACTTACATGATCAACTGTAGCCAACGTGCAGTCTGGCCTCCTCACTTTGCGTCCTGCATTCTTCAAGCCTTCAAAAGCTTGCTGTGACGCAATGTTAGCCTGGGAATCGCGGCTAATTACTTATTGGGCAGGGATTCCATGTTATCCGACTTACGGGAGATGTGACCTCATGCACAAGGTGCCTATCTGTCGGGTTCAAGAGCTCCAGTCAGTTACTGTCAATCCAAAAGGCCAATGATTGGACGGGGATGCTCGCGTAAAATGGTACGTACCGATATATAGCAAGATGGTCCCATCCTTCTGCTCGTTCACGATGTGGTCCTTGAGAACCTTGTCGTACAGCGTCTGGGGTGGTTTATCCAGACCAGGCATTGTTGCTACTCTGTATGAAGAGCACCCCCGTGTATGGTGAAAGAAGAGAAATGGGAGCCGGAGAGGCGTGGAGCTGGGGAGTCAGAAGTTGAAGCTGAAGCTCTTTTATTCCGCCTCAATATCAATGTCTGGCTGCTGGTTATACTTATATTTAAGAGCTGGTCATAGCTGCTCTGGTGGGGAGAAGCCGGTATCGGCGGTCAGCAGCTAATGGTGTACTCCGATTGGCCGTATTCTGCCAAGGAGCGGATATTAGTCATCGCTTCCTACCGGGCCGAGGTCGCCGCTTTCGGAAGGCTAGCGCGGCTATTTTATATTCTTCTGTTAACTCCGCAGTTTTCTCCGTGCATACCTAGTAATACAAATATTTTCTAATAAGATAACGATATCTATACAAAGCTATATGCAAATCCGGGCCCGCGATTATCCTCTCTAAACACTAACAAGGCGAGCTTATGGCGGACGAGCAGGGCAGCCACGCCGCATAGAAGCTGGAGGCCGACTATATGCATCGCCAACTTATCCTCACGCAGTGGTCCAAACCAGAGTAACCAGAGGTTAAGTAAGGTCAAGTTTGTTGTCTCGATAATGCTGCCTTCTTCGTTTCTTTTTACCTGCATGAGGTAGAGTTTGTCCAGCAAATCCAAACCGGTTGCGATGATGGAGTGCGGAGGACGTGTCCACTCAGTAACGGATGGTTCCATGAGTCCCGTTCGCGGGTTAAACTTTGGCAATCGGTGCCGCGGGCAAGGTATCAAGTGAAATAATTGTGGTGTAGAGTACAAGAAATTGAAGATTTGGGGAACAAATAGCAGCAACAGAGTTTTGCTGAAGTGGCCCAATATTCCAACAACGGCAAAGACCATGCCAGCAAAGTAACAGTATGTATCCCCGACAAACACCTTAGAAGGATACCAGCTATGCCACCATAAGGCTAGTGAAACAGCAATGAATGGTAGCAGTAGATAAATTGAGAATAGATGAGAATCCGTGGCTGGGTGTGGGTATGGAGTGAATGGCGACAGAAACAGTGCATCATTGGTTATCAACAGGCAAGCTATGGCTATTGACTGCGAAACCTCAACTCCGTTGATTCCAGCCAACATGTTGATACTATTAGGGCAGAAGATGGCGACCGCGGCCATATAGACATAGTACAGCCAACCCAGGTCCAGAGAGGGCCCCAAGTAAGCTTGAAGGGGGACTGGCACTATGACATGTGTCACTCCGAAATCGACAAAGTAGACGATTAGCATCGGCACTGCAGCAAATGCTGGAATGAAAAACTTGTGCCGCCACCGTATGTCCAACAGATCGTCGCCAATCCCCAGTATCACTATTGACTGCAGCGAGAGTAATCCCGAAAGATAGGTTGCAAGCTTTCAATGGTTAGTCGTAGCTTCACGAGTAGAAGAGAGGGGAGTTACCTTGTTATGAGGAAATTTGTGAAGAAAGCGGCCTGTTTCCACACGATGAACGGGCAAGGGTATATCACGATTTCCTCCACCAGATGTAGCCGCTACAAGTTCTTTGTAGAAGGGAAATGGAATGAACACGATAAGAGTAAGAATGTAAACAACTGCAACAACTGCGCCCATCGTCTCGGGTCTAGAGCTGGTGTTAGTAATATATCGTTGCGACCAACCCCGGGGTATTACCTACATCTCTATCTTCTTAAGCTTGGACATGTCCTTCCCTTTAAGCCCAGCTTTTATGAATACATTTCCTAGCCATCGAATGAGGCTAAAGCTCGCAGCAAATGCGATTCCAGACAATGCCAGTGAAGCCACCAGAGGCTCCCCATCTTGAAGTGCATTTTTTACCAATATGGCTGAGCACCCTATCGATAGTGCGATGAGACTCCACGTCTCTCTCCGAGTGAGAGTTACTGTCATCGTATCCTGCACATAGCGTGAAGCCACCCAACTATAGTCAAAAGCAAAGACTGTTGGAAAATTCGGCGCTTAAATATAGTTGCCGCAAGTTGTCCTTTTGGGCGTCAAAGTAAACAGCCGCTGCGCTTATCAGCGTCACGTGTTTAGTTATCCCGGCGAATCGCAAGCGTCACGTACGAAACTCTGGTATCTTAATCAACTTGCGACAAAGCCAAGTTGCGCAGCGATTGATTCATTTATGCAGGAACCATCCCTGTTATAAGCAGAGATGAGGTACTGCGTGCGACTTACGTGGAGATGACAGCTTTCACCGAGTTCGATGCCGGCCACCGGGACTTGGTTACAGTAACCAAGTTCAACTTCTATGGTAATCGCATCCTCACTGCATCTGCGGATCACCGAATAAAGGTGTGGGATCAAAAGGATGATGGCTGGGAACTTGCAGATACTTGGCGAGCACATGATGCAGAAATTCGCGATGTAAGTTAGCCCAGCGAAAGATGCATTTGTTATGATCGGAATTTCGTTTCTCACATTCTCTCTGTCCCAGGCAGCATGGAACGGCCCATTCACCGGCCAGCATATTGGCACCGTAGGGGAGGATATGAAATTTAAACTATGGCAAGAGGATGTGACACAGTCTCGCAACTCTGGTCGGCGCTTCCGGAATATCTTTCGTCTGACTTCTTCTATTCGCACGCCGTACGTCTCGCTAGACTTTCGAAATATTGACCTCGAATCCTGGCTGGCTCTAATAACTCGCGATGGTCTTCTCACCGTATTGGAGCCTGTGGGTGCGGATAACCTCTCGGAATGGCAACAACTCGACCAGTTTCGTGTTTGTTCGGAACCCTCACGAGGAGATGAGACGAGCTTCAAGGTTCAGTTCCATCATGATCCAATGGACATGACCCATATGGTTATGCCGTCCTGGGACAGCAAGAGTTTATCCCTTGTTGTTGCGGCGATGAACACTGTCAAGGTGTATCGAATGGCAGCGAACAGGAAGTTTTACCATGCCATTGAGCTGACTGGCCATACCGGTCTAGTGCGGGACATTGCATGGGCCAACGGCTCCGTTCGAGGGTTTGATATTATTGGCAGTGGTTCAAAAGATGGCACCATCAAAATATTTGAGATATACACGTCAGTCACGAATGGTGGCAACAGCAAGCAAAATGGATCCGCAAATGCTGCCTCTAGAGCCTCCACCCAATCTGCAATTGGCACTGCTCTTGCAGGTCAGACATCAGGAACACTTGCAGATACTAGGAAAAACATTGAAAGCCCGTTCAAGCATACCTTTAGAGAGGTTGCATCAATTGACAGTAAACATCTTGATGTCTGGCAAGTTCAGTTTTCTCACGCTGGTATGTTCTGCCACATTGCATACGCCGTATCATTGTCTAACAATGTTTTTTAATTAGGCGATTGTCTACTCTCTTCAGGGGATGATGGCTCTTTACGCTTCTGGAAAAGGGCTACTTCCGGAGATTGGCTGGAATTTGCGGAAACTTCAATGGAGAATAACTAGCATTCGGTCACCGCAGCATCGCTCTCTCTTCCTAGCTTGAGCTGACTATGCTAGTTAAGTGGCATCAGCTGTGAGATTCCTAGTGAGATTCCCAACTATTCCTCAATTTGTCCCCGCTGGCTTGCGATTGTTGCATGGTATGATTGATGTCGTCATGAAATCTCTTTGCATAATACCCATATATCAAGCCTATATGCGACTTATTCAATGCCTATACTGTTTATGTATGTATATGATATGCAATAAGCAATAATATGATGAACTCTACCTTTTTCTTTCACTTTGTCATATCGGCCGGTTCAACCACACATGTTGATCAGTCAGTTTATTTTGTTTCTCCAGTTAATGGGAACAATAATCATGCATTGCTATCAATATTCCTATAACGTCTAAGCTAACATGATGACTCTAGTCGAGTACAACACAGAGAAGCTTCAATGGAGATATGTTGCTCAATACAATTAGCGATGTAGATGTCATAACCGCAGGCGGCCCAAAGACTCATCTCTAAGTTGAGTGTTGATGCCATGATGTGCCATTCATTATATTCATCTAGTACGCATTCTGACCTGGCCATCCTATGGAAAGGAGAAGTGGAGGTTGATTATGTGCGTTCATATGAAATATAAGAATTTCATAAAAGTGTGAAGAAGAAAAGGAGGAGAAAAGGGAAAGAAGAAATGCAAAATGCTGCACGAAAATGTAAGGTTCGTCAAGGCAAACGAGTCACGTGAATCCTTCGGATTAAAGTAAAAGCGAATACCGGGATGCTCCCCATCACCTGACCGCGGAACCTCCATTAAAAGGAAAAATTTCAACTTCGACTTTCTCTCTCCAAACCACCAAAGGAAGTGGGAAGCAACAACTCATTATTGCAAGAAGATTGCCCTGTCAACGACTTAGACGGCAGTTGAAGCGTGATGTTTATTATTATGACTAACAGTCGAATAAGTAGCTCAAATTCATAGCACAGCTTGACTCTCGTGGCATGTTGAATACCTTCGCTTACGGCCGCACTTTTAATGATGACAACTTCGTTAGAAGACGATATGAACTGCTGGCTATTATTGCCACTGCTACGTTGATTACCTTGTTTCTCATGCTATCTACGGCTGAGCTTTAACACGGCGTTCAACTCGTTACCTAAACCACAACTTTGCCAACATCTTGTGCCTTTCTGTGGTCAAGATGTATACTTCGTTTTAAAGGTCTAGTGGAAGATTAAACCCATAACAGTTTTTAGCAAAGCTGCGTCTTTTCCACCCTGCCACTTGGTTTACTGTTGAGTGCCCAGGACTAATACAGGACGGACATCTTTTGGTTCTCCATAGCTATTTAGAAAAAGTATTTAATACTTCAATTACTTCAATGAAAATCCTAGATACTTGACTCTTTATTTTCTATTCGTCCATTGCCTCTATCTTTCTATAGATGCAAGCCTGAAATTATCCAATCCAACGGAAGGATATACCATTACCGCGCCAAAATACCACAAGTAAAGAAATACCCGATTAGATAGGCTTCTTCTTTAGATAAGTAGGGTCTGCTGTTGCGCTACATAGAAAATTCATCAGATTTAATTAACGACAGGAGGTATTGGTGCATACATAGTTCAAATAAAATATGAAATCATCCAGATATAAGGAATCAACAAGGAACGACAGGACAGCTATTCGCCTCTTCATATACCACCTGGAGGTGGTTCAAGATCTCTTCCACTCCCACTAAAGCACCCGTAGAACATCAATTTTGTCTACTTACCTTGAAGACAGCACGGGCATTAAACGGTAGTGCTTCTTATAAACGATAAAACCGTGGGGCTAGGCCTGACATCATCTCATACCACCACTCTGTGGCCCTCATTTGCTTCTCCATTGACCCTAAAGCCACGGCATAATAGCCATGCCATTAGTCTTCATTATCACAGGCCGTTAAAAAATGAATTCACCTCTGATGATGATGATGATGGTGATGATGATGATGGTTTTGCTTGGGTATCAGCTTGAGAAGGTGGTGAGGAAGATGCAGATGAGGGCTGTTCACTAGCGGCAGAGGCCGAAGGAGGTGATTTTGTGGAATTTTTCAATGGTGCCTTTGCCGTACCTTCTATCTGCTTCTCCTGGTCGTCATCCGCAATTAGGTCCATTACCGAAGGGGCAGGGGAGGTAGCTGTTGGCTTCACAGCGGAAGCAGTGGCAGTAGGAGTGGCAGTGGCGACTGGAGTCATAGACTGCTTCGCCGGCATCTTCCCTGTCTGAGGGGCTGAAGGACGAGGACGGCGCCCTGACATATCAGATGCCTGAGGGCGAGATCCATTGGCAACAGGCTCAGCACTAGTAGTTGGCATTGGTGCACTTTCACCCTCAGATTCAGGCATAGTTGTTGTCTCGGTGCCATTGGATTCTGATTGCTTCGACTGTTTGACCATACTCTCGTGTTGTGTTGATTGACCACCCATTGTTTGCGGTTTATTTTGGTCACCACTCATAGTTTGCTTTGGTTGGTCTCCCATAGTCAGCTTTGGCTGATCTCCCATGGTCTGCTTTGGCTGGTCTCCCATAGTCTGCTTTGGCTTGCCTCCCATGGTTTGTGGCTGCTCTTGAGTCATTGACTGGGTCCCATCATCACGATTTCCGCTGGGTGACATCGAAGGCATGGCCCCCTGGGCAGATTGACTTGCCTCAGGTGAGTTTGGCATGGGCGAACTCTCAGTAGTTGGTGCTGGGCTCTCCGCCTGGTTTTCACCTGTGGCAGTTGCCGTAGAATTAGAAGCACCAGTTTCCTGAGAAGCTGCCCCTGTTTCATTTGCCATAGCTGTCGGACTTGGATTTTCATCTTTGTCCATTTCCTGGAGAGCTCCCGCACCTGCAGCAGCACCATTTCCGGCTCCTGCTTGCTGGCCGCTACCAAGAGCACCACCCAAACCCCCAAGGCTACCAAGAAGGCCGTCTAGACCTAACTGTGGCGTGCGACGATGCTTCATATGGGTTTCATCCCCAACCCTTCGAATATCTACACGAATGTGTGAATATACTGAAAAATGGAGAATTGCCTATTTTTGACCGGAAAACGCACCAATAGCTGCAGATGCAGCAAGCCCAATAAAGGACAGAAAAAATAAAGTCTGAAAACGCATCTTGATAATGAGAACGAAGCGCCTTCTGAGTTTACTTATTAGCACAGACTCCTTAATGATGCGAACTCATTAGGAAAGTGCATACCTGATAAGAGTGAGGAAGCTTTTGAAGTAGCTATGTTTACTCTGGTTCCGGACCTCGAACTTGAGTCGGCTGCTTCAACAGCCATTCACCTCACATTCCGAGATCTTTGAGGCCCGTTTAAATAGACATATTTGTCTCTATGATATCACCGAAATCATAGATGGTGTATCAGGCGGGGTATAAAATGCAACAATTAACAGAGAACTAGTTTCCAAACATAGGGTGATGTTATAGGCGGGATTCAA